TCTTATGTTCTTTTCAGCTAATATTCTTGTTTTGTTGATTCCCTCATGCAAACACTATTGATATATTATTGTTTTATACAGTGTTTGTTTAAATTCACCCACTTTTTTTTTTTTGCCAGTGATTCTGCATCTCATTCCTTCCTTGTGTGATCATTTTCCTTCCAAGTAATTCCTTTAGTCAACAATTCTCCGTTGACAGTTGATTTTTTTTCTCAGTATTTTGAAGATAATAGCTCTGGCTTCCATTGTTGCTAATGAGAGCCCTGCTATTGGTCCAGTTTCCAATCATCATTCTTTTATAAGTAATTGGTCTTTTTTCTTTGGCTATTCTTTTTTTTTTTTTTTTAAGATTTTATTTATTTATTTGACAGAGACACAGTGAGAGAGGGAACACAAGCAGGGGTGAATGGGAGAGGGAGAAGCGAGCCTCCTGCTGAGCAGGGAGCCCGATGCGGGACTCGATCCCAGAACCCTGGGATCATGACCTGAGCCAAAGGCAGACAACAACTGAGCCACCCAGGTGCCCTCTTCGGCTGTTCTTAAGATCTCCTTTATGTCTTGGATTTACTCAACTTTACTAAAACACATCTATATGTAGATTTTTGGGGGGGGCCTTGTTGTGACCTTTAAACCTATAAAACCACATTTTTCATCAATTTGAGAGGATTTTAAGCTATTATTTTGAAATATGTGTTGCATTCTAAACATTAAAAAAGTAAGTAAATAAATCATGACAGCAGTTTGGTGGGGAGAGGTGGGTTGTGTCTGCAGTGTCTTTCTACAGAGTAGAAGGCCTTCCTGAATCTGCTGTGAGTTGTTACAAATACCATCTAGAGGTAAACCAGACACTGGGAGGCATGCAGGGAAGCAGAAATGGGAACGATGGGAATATTCCCAGGAAGAAGTTAAGGCTAAAAGGAGAAACCTTACTCCATGAATGTTTTCTCCAACAGCCAATAGATCCTCTCACTCCAGCTATATTTAACTGGAAAGATCAGGCTGTGTGTGTCTCCCTTATACTGTCATAGCATAGTGTTCTTCCCAGAGAATAGCACAGCACATGGAATTGTCATGGCCTGGTTGTTTTGTTTTGTTTTGTTTTTGTCTTTAAGTTAAAATGTGAGCTAGACTGTGAACACCACACGGACTGTGCCAGATTTGTTAAAATCGTATCCCTAGCACCCAGACTAATGGGTGGTGTGTAGTAGATGCTCAACAAAAATGCATTACATCAGAGGTGCCTGGGTGGCTCAGTCATTAAGTGTCTGCCTTTGGCTCAGGTCATGATCCCAGGGTCCTGGGATCAAGCCCCACATCGGGCTCCCTGCTCGGTGGGAAGCCTGCTTCTCCCTCTCCTCCTGCTTCCCCTGCTTGTGTTCCCACTCTCGCTGTCTCTTTCTCTGTCAAATAAATAAAACCTTAAACAAAATGCATTGCATCAGAGAATGAATAATTTGGAGGCAGATGTATTGAATATCTAAGTTACCTTTTCTGTGCTCAGTGCCACAGAAAAGTGCTTTTCCAAAGTTTTTGGATTTCACTAACAAGTTAAAACATTGATCTTAGGGCGCCTGGGTGGCTCAGTTGGTTAAGCGACTGCCTTCGGCTCAGGTCATGATCCTGGAGTCCCGGGATCGAGTCCCACATCAGGCTCCCTG